CCGTGGCACCACTGGCAGTTGAGGCTGGGCGCCCCACGATGGCTTTAAATCGACCTTGGTTAACTCTTTTGAGTGTTTTTGGTCGCGGCGCAACGGTCCCTGCTTTCTCCCTTGCAAGGTTCTCCTGCATCTTTTCCAGGCGTTGGCTTCGTTCCTCCCGTATGGCACGGAGCCTCTCCTCAACGGAAGGAAGCTGATACTGGGGAATGCCTTCATCACTTCCAACCGTGCGACTAGACGAGCTCCTTTGGTGATCATGAAAACTACTTGTTGTGGGTACTGGCCCTGCATCGTCAGTTTCATCGGAACATCCACGCCGTAAATCATGTTCATTCTTGCATGAACCTCTTTCTTCCTTCGGTGTCCGCAGAAGACTCTCATCGTCATTCGCCGTAATCCCATGTACTTCCGGCCTTTTTTTGCTCGCAATGCGCAGCCTAAACTCCCTACGACTTTTTACATCATTGCGTCGTGCCTCAACCGGCGCAGGGTTTAAGGTCATGTTTGGTGCCTGCCTGGGGTCGGGTGTTCTTAAAGGCCTGCACGCGCCACTTTGCTCTGCCGTTTTTGCAGAAGGTGATCGGCTCTGTTCAGGCCGCAGCGGAGAATGGTGTCCGGCGACAGGCTTGGCGGTCCCAGGCATGACAGTTGTACCGGGCAAAAGTTGTCTTACTGTCTTCTCTTCTCCCAAATTACACCCTAACCGCGTTGCCTTGCGTTCCTCACACTGAAGGGCACCTACACCGAATCCCACCTGGGCAGGATATACGGCCTGGGCTCCACATCCCTCCGCAGGGTTCATTCTCCCCTACAAACTGCAACCCTTTGCACCTTTCGGAGGCGGTTTTGAAAACAGTCAAACAACGTAACTGTGACACAAAACAAAGATCGATAAACACACAAAAAATAAATAAATAAATAAAATAAATAACAGTATTGACTCGCATTGTCGTGTGAGACAAAACACGACCGTGGTCTGTCACTTCCGCTCCTTCACTCGCACTTGAATGCACACATATTCACTCATATTGTGAACTACGCAGTAGTTTTTTCGCCGCTTCAACCATTTCCGGCGTCACATCCGCCGCCTCAATTCGTCCACGCCGCTCCTCACGTGACAAGTCTGACACCCATTTGTGATCGGCGTTCAGCATCAAGCCGGATGCCTCATCTCGATAAACATATCCCTTTGGGCCATCATACACCGCCTGCGGGGCGTTCCGTACGTATTCTGGTGTAAAATCTCGTTTGTAATACCGTTGACGATTAAGTTCAATATTGTCTAAAATCTCATTGGCGTTGTTTGATTGCAAATGATTGATTATAACGACGGCCGAACACGCCAAACAAACAAGAGTGCCACGCCACTCCATCCAAATTGTACGGAAAATCCCCCGCTCGCCGTAGCGTGCAAGCAACTCAGCATCTCCAATACCCAACCACCATGCCTTAACTCGAGTAAAGGGGCTGATGAACCGCCTCCGTCCCATCAAAGCCATTCTTTAAAAAGTCATATAAAAAAGGAAGATGTAACCTACAAAACAAAACAAAAGCAAAATAATAATAATAATAACGTGTGTTGGCGGCATTTTCCACCACACTCTCAGAAATCAAACCGCAGCCGCTTCATGTGGAGAGTCTTCTTTTTTTTTTTTTTTTTTTTTTCTCATACGCACGCCAATATGTAAGTCCCTTTATATGCAAACGGTCATTGGATATATAATTATATAATCCTTCCTGGAGCCCCCCCACAGACGCACACACAAGTAGGACAACACACAGACAGCCACGCAGCAGGCCTCTCAATTGGGACATTCAACGCAGAATTTCTTCCCCGTCTTTCTTTTTAATAAAAGGAGTGGGTCACACGCAAAGAGAAAAAAAAAAAAAAAAAGGGGGGGGGGGGGGGGGGGAAGGGGGGGGAAGGGAGGGAGGAAAGGCAAACAAACACCTCTCACCTTCAGGTGGAACATTAATAGTAATAATGACCAAAAAATAAAAAATAGAAAAGGACTGTACCAACACCAATCTCCTGCAGAAAAATAACAGGAATAAAAATAACGGAAATAAAAAAAAAATAAAAGAGGGGGGAAGGGGGTTTATTGCTATTCGCAGTCTTCTTCCTTCGGTCGTTCTTTATTACTATTATTATTGTTGTTGTTATTTTATTTTTGTTTGTTTGTTTGTTTCTTTCACCCACAACATCTCAGTTCGAATTTCGTAATATAAAAATAAATATAAAATATAAAATGAAGCCCAAATTTGCACTGCCTTTTGTTTTTTCCTCTTCTTTGGAATCCCCACCCTCCCCCTCTTTTTTTTTTCCTTCCAAAACTATCGTTTTTCTCATACTTCTCCTATTCTTCTTCTTCCTTTTGTTGTTGACCGCCAATGCCTCCACCAATATAGAATAAAAAATAAAAAAATCGCATTTAAAGTTTACTGGTTGACCGCTTCTGTTCACTCTTCTGGAATGAAAGGCATAAATTTACTTCTTCTCTACTCCCCATGTAGACAGCCACACGCTGGTGAGGTTTCTTTGGCACAACATCAAGCACACGTCCTTTGCCTGTAGACGCTTTACCGCCAGCCTGCTCTACAAGCATTGCCAATGGGGCAGCTTCATACAAGAGTCGTATCTTCCCCTCTGGTCGTTTAAGATCGCTGGGATAACAAAAAATACCGCCATAAAGTAATGTTCGATGAACATCTGCAACCATTGAACCAATATAACGTGCGGTGTATAACTTAGGTCCTGCCTTCACGTGATTCATATACTTCTGAAACCATGGCTCCCAATTACAAAAGTTTCCTTCATTAACACTGTATATAGCACGGGACGCTGGAAGTGTAATATGTGGATGTGTATGAATGAATTCACCAATAGTAGGGTCCAAGGTGAATCCATCCACACCGTGTCCGGTGGTTAAAACCAGATTTGTAGCCGTGCCGTACATGGCGTATCCGGCCGATACAAGACACTTTCCTGACAGTTTCTTTAAGACTTCGGTGGCCTCCTCCATAGTCGTGATTTTCTTCTCATCCGAAACACGCCAGATGCCCCAAATAGAACCAACGGATATATTTGCATCAATATTGCTACTTCCATCAAGTGGGTCAAAAAAAACAATGTAATGTCCCTGACGTTCTCCTTCTACCAATACAAGAGACTCTTCTTCCTCACTACCTAGAAAAGAAACACTGGATGAAGAGATAAGGTATGCCTTAAAGGCATTGTTTGCTATTACATCTAGCCTTGCTTGGGTATCTCCTGTCGCATTGGAGGAATGATCGCTAAGATATCCAAAAAGCCCCTGCATTCCTGCAGAACGAATGTGTTTTTCAATCACTTTTACTGCGGTCTGAATGGCCGTCATGAGAAGAGTAAACTCCCCCCGGCTGCTGAGAGGTTGACTGTGCATAAGAAATTGCACAAGAGTTGCCGGAATATTGACCCTTGGCTCCATTTTTTTTTTTTTTTTTTTTTTTTTAGGTCGCTTACGCAATTCACCCTAAACAAACGGATAAAGAAGGGAAAAAAAAAAAAAAAAAAAAAAAAGAAAGAAATAAACGGAAATAAATTGAAAAAAGAAAGAAAAAAAAAAAAAAGAAGAAGAAGAAACAAAATAAAAGAAAAAAAAAATTAATAATAATTAAAATTAGAACGTTACCAAAAAAGTTCATTTTGTTTATTAATAAACAAAAGTTCATACATAAATATTGTCAAAATCATTCAATGAAGTCCAAACGCTTCGTGTGCGTTTCTCAATAAAGAGAAATAAAACACTCCGTATGTATGTGTGTAATGTGTAATAGATGAAAGAGATGTAATATGTGGGATAATGGGCAGGAGTGTGTATACATATATATTTATATATTTATATATATATGTATACATGCGCACATGTACTTCAATAATTGTGTCTTATTGCTCGCTAACTCTAAACAGCTCAAGGAGGTGGTGAGAGAGAGAGAGAGAGAGGGGGAGGGTTAAAGAGGGA